TTACCTTATAATTAGGTAGACAAATTTAAATGAACTGGGATGGCAACACAATATTAACAATCAAATGAAGTTTGGCACTGATTGTGAGTTTTTTGAGAGTTGATTTAACACTTTCCTTACTGTTAGTGCATTTTGTAAAATGTCGTCAGTTCGTTATTGTTAACTTGTTATATTCATGTTTCCCATGCAAACTGGTAATTCAAGTCTTGTTTTAGACATTTTTGAGGGAATAGTACAATTGCTGGGCAGTCTTGCAGTTTTGTAGTGCTGCCATTTGGAATTTGTTGATCGTGTACCAACTATTGAGCTGTTATAGTTGCTCAGTTTTGAATGTGGTTTTAACGAGCACCGTATTCTAAACGATAACGAGGAGTTTTCTTCGATTTACGGTTCTGATTGAAGGTGTTTGATGTTGGTTGGGGGTATCTCGGGTTTTTTATTTTAAAAAGGTTTAATTATAGATTTCAGATTTCAGACTTGTATGGAAGATTTTGTTTCCATCTACTCGTTTTCGTGAATGTCGTTTTGCCATTGCTTAGTTTCGCTTCATTTTATTGTTCTCGCTCTATTGTTGATATTTATTTCTGTTCACTTCCACGAATTTCCCTGCTTTGTTTTCTTTTCTCCGTCATTCCTTTACAAAATACCTGTTTATTAGGTAAATATGACGCTAGCGTTACTTCGTCTTATTGGTAAAATCAAAACGGCATTTCGTTCACATTTGCAGTTGAATATGCTGCTTAGTTAGAGCACAGCAAGAAATATTCACACGAACAAAGTGCCGTTGTGATTTTACCAACCTGAAATACAACAGTACCATAATGTCGATTGCGGTGAAAGGCTTTTAATCAAATAACCGTTAAGGTAGACATATCGTTAGCAGGGTGAGTATCGAAAATGGTTCGCGTTAAGGCTCGTGACCTTCGTGGCAAAAAGAAGGAGGATTTAACGAAGCAGCTGGATGAACAGAAAACCGAATTAGCTTCTCTTCAGGTAGTTTCATTCGTTTTCTGTCCTCTTTGTTCTTGTCGTTGTGTCTACGAAAATACGTTGAGTACTACCGCTAAATTTACATTGACTGTCACTAATGTCAAGTAGTTTGTGTACCCACAAGTTGAGATTTTATGTTGATAACTCAAATGTTGATAAGTATTAT